GCTTTGGCTGATCGAACCTCTTCCTGATCACTACCTGCCCTAGCTTAAACCTGTTGATGTACGAAGAGGGGGGAACCTGGGGTAAGGATTTGGTCAACCCGGACTTGGGGGTCCCGGCCGCCTTCTCGGAATAAAGGGGGGCTGGTTTGGGAGGCAAACCGTTTGGTTTAGGGGCCGACTGATCCATCAAATTGGAAGAGTGAGGTGAGGACAAAGCCTCAACCTTCTTTTCCAGTCTGGTCATATTGGCCGCTATCTCTTCAATCCTCACTAGGAGGGTGTTGAAAGAGTCCGCACGGGTCACTCCAGTTGGTTTGGTAGCTTGGCCGGAGACAGCTCTCTCTAGGCTTTCCATCCTAGGGATTAAGGTATCAACCAATTTGGTTAACCTATCCGCTAAGTTGTTTTGGGCTACAGGCAAAGCGCCTTCAGTAACATACATGTCCATACCAGACATGTTGTTGCTGGTCGTAGGATCACCGCCCTGCGGGAGCAGGGTGGCATGGGGTTTATGAGATGGGTGTGCAGGTGAGAGGTTGTGGAAAGGGAGGGGAGGGGAAGAGCGGGGCTAGTGCTCGTTGTATTGCAAAGGGGGATTTGGGGAAGGGGTGGGAGAGTGGTGGGTTTGCTGAGTGATGCGAGGTAGATTTTAGGATGGCAATTTTGGATGAATTGAAAAAGGGTAGTGACATAGATTAAGAAGGAAAAAGCCCCCCCCATGTATTAATTTCGAAGTTGCTGATCCCGTTTGATGATCGGCAGTTCCTAGCACGGGGTAACCCCCGGGGGGCGGGGGGTGTCATCCGCTGACGCCGTGTCCAGTTTTACTCCTCCAGAGTTTGCTTACCATTTCTCCCAGTCAAAGTGTCGAGGAAAACATGGAGCCGAACAACGAAAAGTCTATCGGAGTCCAACTGACCTGGCCAATCAAGCAATCCTCCCGAGTGCCAACACCAGGTACTCCCCAGGCAGAAGACCAAAAAATCGAACAGGGCAGTTCCAAGAAACGGAAAACTTCTGACATTTGGAACCACTTCACCAAGATCAAGGATGGTGAGTGGATATTGGATCAATCAAGATGAAGGAGGAACCCATATTAAGTCGATTGACCCATTTTACGCAGGTGCGACTACCAAGGCGATCTGTTTGAATTGCAGTGCTACCCTCTCGGCCCAAAGCAACGCAGGAACGAACCACCTCTGGCGGCACCACCATCGCTGTAAATCAGAACCGCGCCAATCAGTCCTCGTCCCAAGGAACTCTCAATCGCTGCCCGAACTTATCCGTCCGCCGAAGTTCAACCAGGAGGCCATGCAGGAATGCTTGGTCGAGATGATCGTAGCCCATCAGTACCCATTCTCGATGGTCGAACATCGATCATTCCGAGAATTCATCTCAGCTCTACAACCTAAATTTAAGATGATCGATCAAGCCACCCTACAAACGGAGTGTATGAACCTGTACAAGAAACGGAAGGCAGTCATCAGCAAACAGTTTGAGGATCATCCCAGTAAAATCGCCCTCACCCTCGAACACTGGTCTTCTCTAGATACCTCCTCCTTCCTCAAGATCTCCGCCCACTATATCAACCCTCAATGGAAAATCATCAGCAGAACTATTGCATTCAGATTATTGCCCCCACCTGTTGATGCAAACGTGATCGTCGAGTGTATTACCGACGTACTGGAAGACTGGAAACTCCTCAATAAGGTTAGCAAATCAATCTACCGCCAGGCAATTCACTTTTGTTGATTTATATTTCAATCCGCATTTTCATATGTGCATCATGAATTTTTTTTTTCTAGTGTGGTTCAATCACGGCTGAAAACTCCAACTCAAACGATCTTGCAGTGAACAAAATCTGCGAAATGCTCAAGGAGCGCCAAATACTTAAATCGACAGATGACTATTTCCACGTGCGATGTGCGGCGGGAGCGATGAAGGAGATTGTCCAGGAAGCCTTCAAGACGACCCAAGAGGCGATCAGCAAACTCCGACGCATCGTCCACCTGGTCACCGCTTCAGAGGCGAGCAAGGCATCGTTGCAAGAGGTTGCCGGGAACTGCGGGCTGCCGTCCAACAAACTCCCCTCTCGTGATATCGTCTCCAGATGGGATTCAACTTACTCAATGATCTCGGATGCCCTCAATTTCCAACTAGCGTTCGAATATCTTCAAGCGACTCAACCTGAATATCTTGACTGTCCAACTGCGCTAGAATGGCTGCAACTCAAAACTCTCAAAGAGGCACTCGAGGTCTTTCATGAATGTAAGGGGCAGGGTCTCTTGGCAACGTACCTCGTCAAAATTCACCTCTGATTTGGGTGACTTGCTTTTTTTTCCCTATAGCTGTCAGCAGCTTATCCAAGACTGATTTGCCAAGCGCAAACAGGTCTTATCTGAATATGAAGAAGATCGAAAGACACCTTAGCAAACCAGAACACTACGAAAACAATCACTCGATCAATATAATCTGTCCCATGGCTAACGCTTTCCAAAAGTATTGGGCCAGACTCAGGGAGTTTTCAGAGATCGCGTCCGTCTTGGACCCCCGTTTGAAACTACAATATCTTCAGTTCTCCCTAGTTAAACAACATGGAGTCTTGGTGGCTGGTGAGAAATTAACGATTTCGAAGAACCGGTTTGTCTCTTTTTTTTTTAAAAAAAAAAAATTGATTGGCTCTTATCTTTTCTCAGTAAAATGTATATTCAGTTGTTTGTTTGATAATTCTAATTAATCCACAGCCTCTACACGATTTTCCAGACTTATTTGCCCAACGATCCAGCAGTTGAGAATGTAGGGGATTCGCAGCCAGTAGAGAAGACAGCGCGAGAGACGAAGGCAGATGATGAGATTGATGAGTTCCAGAAATACTTGGAGGGCACGACGATGATCCAGACGCCCTATGGAAGTCGGACGGCCGAGCTGGACCTCTACCTCCAGGAGCCGGTCTTCCAAGGCTCCGCCCAGGATCGCGACGCCTTCGATGTCCTCGGGTGGTGGAAAGTCAATGAGCTCAGGTTCCCAACTTTAGTCCTCCTCGCTAGGGATATCCTGATGGTTCCCATGTCATCTATCAGTCCTGAATATGTCAGTTCCTTCTCTTTCCTTGTAACTTCCAATCAATCGATCAAAGCCACTTAAACTAGCTTGATGGACTCATTCCCTCGCTCTTTGCTCTCTCTCTCTGTTCGGTTGTTGGTTTGAACAGACTTTCAAGACCACTGATAAGGTCTTGAACGAATTTCATTCCGGTCTCGACCCTGAATGTTTAGATGCCTTAATGTGTGCAGGCGATTGGCTGTCAGCAGATTATCCGCCCCCTAAAGAAGAATGACTGTCCATCGAAAGATTGTGATGGCTTGATTTTCTTCCATTCTTGTTAATGGCATCTATACATGTAGTTCATATTTATTCAGAATTATCCTACGGATTATGTACCCGTAAAATAGTCTACCAATCATTGTTGTCGGCTTGAAATTGGAATGTGTATTTGTATTACTTGAGCTGCATTTAGTCGAGCTTCATGCCAGAAGAAGAGTTGTCTGGAAATCTGAGATGTGTTGAAGCGTGTCTTGAGCTTTTGAGTCCAGGGCGAAACCTAAAAACTTGCCAAGAAACAACTCCGACACCACCAGAACGCAAGCAAGCAGAGGGAACAACAAACGATGAAGACTTCTCATCTCAGCTGGTCTTGTCTCCGGCAACCCCCTGCCTCACTCCGGCCTCACCCACTCCATCGTCCGCCATCAGCCCTACTTCGACCCGGACCGAGCGAGCCGAATGTCCATCGATCGGCGCCCGATTTCCTAGCTTCTTCTCGGTCCGCCTGGACCTCTCTTCTCCATCGACGCCCTTCCTCATCCTCTTCCCATCACCAAGTCCATCCTCCTTCTTCTTCGGCAAAGGCCTCCGATCATCAGCGTCGCTTCAAATCCTTCTTCCTCAGTCCCAAAGCTGTCAACCTCTTGCTCTGGTCCGTTTCTCATCCATCCCTTCCCCCCGGTTCGAGTATTCTCATTTGGCCCGGCGTCACTCACTCAGTCTCTCTCTCTCTCTCTCTCTCTCATTTGTAGGATTCCGGTCTTCATCGTCATTCATGTGATTAGTTTCCCTCATTGTGATTCACAGGACTTGACTTCATAAATCACCGCGGAATCAAGCAATTTTGACTCTATCGATCCGGCTTCTTTTTTATCTATTTATAAATCTTTCGCAGGAACATGGGGTCGGCTTGGTTCGAATCACTGGAAAGTCAGTCTCTCTCTCTCTCTCCTCTCTATCTTTTTCTTCCCCTCTCGTCTTATTTCTCTTCTTGTCCCACCCAAGAACAAGCACCCAAAAACAACAACAATATTCGTCTTAGAATTTCAATCAGTTAAATGTCGTTGATACAATCTATGTCGTATTGGCCGCATCCTCTCGTGCATGTTTCTTTAGGTCTATGCAGGTGTGAAGCAAAGACAAGGATTCGCTCTTGTTTTCATTTATCGCTCTTTCGGATGATAATCGTCCATTTCCTATGGGCTAAATCACAAACCAACCAGAAGAACTGATCAGCTTTTTTTTTTCTTTTTCTTTGATTTGATAAATAAAACAAATGAATGACCAGCCAACATTCAATCCAGATTCATCGTGCTTGAAACGAGACGTTGTTCTAGTGAGCAAATTTCTAGGCGATAAATCGAGCAGTCTTAGGCGCGGCGACATCATTACATTCTGGTCGGTCGTTTATAGATATATATACATATACGTCCCTCTGTGTCCACCCATCTTACTTCTCTCCACTGCCGTTTTTCCGTTCCAACCACCTCACCTCGACCTTCACAGGCATCCAGAATTTCCAGGAACTTTGCTGACCAAGCGGATCTTGGGCTTGGAAGGGGACATCATCAAACCAGCCAAAACTCAAAACAATATTCCAGGCAGGTTCAATAACTATCTCTGATCTGTGCTTGAATTCTAATCCAAGGATCATTGGTAGTCTGAGTGAATCCACAGCCGGACGTGCCCCTCAACTATCTATCCAAACTGAAATTAGTTTTTTTTTTTCATCTTGAATTGCGGCGTTCCTTGGTTTATCTGTTTCCTGACTATCCCAGAAGGCCCGCCCTTGGTTCGAGTTCCAATGGGACATTGTTGGGTCGAAGGAGATGATCCTTTCCATTCGAAAGACAGCAACAGTTTTGGCCCGGTCAGTTCAAGTCATTAGTCGAGACAAGACAAGCTTATTTGATGTTCCCCTCATCCTCTCTTCTTGGTCAACTTGTTTGCTTGGCTTGTCCAGATTCCCTTAGGTCTGGCTAATGCAAAAGTGGCCTGGATCGTTTGGCCGATCTCGTAAGGCCTTCTCTCTTTCTCACTTTTTGAAGTGCCACTATTTATTTTTTCTGAGCATGTCATTCACATCTGCTTTTCTCGTTTTTTTTTTTGGCTCTCATTTCGTTTTTGCAGACGGTTTGGAGCCCCAAATAGTCAGAGTGATGATCAATCCCATCGTGTTCGTAGGATGACTGTGACTAGACATTAATTAAACCATTCTACTGTTGATACCTTGCCCTAAAGCCTTTCCAAGCTACTATATCTTCCCTGAATCTTGATAATTCATCGCACAACGCTCAAGGAGATGCTTGATTTATAATTGACAGAAGTGTAAACACACAGCCAATGCTTGCTTTTTCACAGCACCCAAACCAATCTGTATCCATCCATCAATGCTTGCTTTTGATTACTGTGCTGATAGGACTAGTCGTCTCAACATGTGAGCACTTGAGACCAAGTCTGCAAGGGTTAAGTCCTATGCCTGAGATATCTGAGAGATGAGTTGAATTTCCAAGGCTTGCCGGCCGGGCTGCAATTGGCAGCCGCCCGAACCCGCAGCCGGCCGCCGTACTGCTGTGCATCCGCAATTTGGGGGCTCCCCGGTCCAGCCCCTCCCTCGGTCCAGTCCGGTCCACCCTGTTCCACTCCCTTGTATCCGATTGGCGGCCGACTGCCAGCGGGACCCACAGGATTACATCATGTCTTCATCCACCACCTCACCTGGCCAGCCGGAACAACCGAAAACCACTCCCCCGTCTCCCAGCCCCAGCGCACTTCCTACTCTGACCGTGTTCGATGGAGTTTCGAATGCCCTCCTGCTCAGCTCGATCGGATTCCTGTTGGGTACATATAAATGGCTTTCTGTGTTGTTTTCTGATCGAGTTAAAGCCTCAACGTCTTGTGACTCATGCCGATCTCTAATACATTAAACAGGAGCTCTCTTTATGGCCCTAACGACGGACTATGCGCTACTCTACACCCATGCACCGACGACGGCCGAGGCCTATCTGGCAGCGGAACAGGCATACTTAACGCTATGGACCAGTCCACTCGCCGTCAAGGCGATCTTCCACCTGCTTCTCCTCTTACCGATCTTCACACTTTCAGTCAAGGTCTCCCGATATACGGAGGCGGCGATCTACTTCGACGGGCTCTGTTTGGGAATGATGCTCTTAGTCCTGGGGCTCTACACCGGCTCGACGGTCCCGAACCTACGCAAGCTGGCCTTCGAACCCTCGACCCAAGCGCTCGCAGACCTGGTCAAGAACTCCCTCAATCTCAAGATCCCCACCGACTTCGATCCGTTGTCGCCAACAAGCGTCATCAACCGACTCCTCGTCCTGCTCAGTCACCCGGCCAGTATCCTCTTGAAACCCCAGAAGGCCCTCGAGAGCGAGCAGGAGTTCAAGAAAGCGCTCGAGCTCAATCCGCTCGATGAGAAGAGTCGCCACGAGCTGCTCGCTGTCACCGCTGCGGGTCACTCGATCGCCATCTTCTTGCTCATCGGGATCATCGTCTTGCAGATCGGTAAGGTCTATGCTGAGGTCGAGGATGCCAAGTTGAAGGCTCGATTCGAACTCGAAGAATCTAATCGAGTCGCACAGGATAGAAAGGACCAGTGAAGCTCACATGCTCATTCCCATTCCTTCCTTCTCCTCCCCGTCTTCACCCTTATATAATCTTGGTTCGGATCCCGACAAGATTAGCAAGCGAGGGGGAAGATGGCTTCAATATTCCTCATCGCCATGCCCCCCCCCCCCTCTTCGATGAACTTCTTGTTGTTTTCTAGATTCCTTGTTTGTATTCTTTCGATCTGACTTGGACGGCTGACCTATTAGGCCCCTGATCTTCTATTGCTATCGATTTACTCACAAGTTTATCCTTTTGACTCGTCGTCTGATCAATTTGGTGTGTGTAATGTTTGTATCTATGAAAAGTGTGCATTTTGAAGTGTTTCATATCGGAAATGTTTGTTCAATGTTCAGTCAAACATGGTTTCATTTACTGCTGCTTGATTTCTGAAAATCCAGCTACAGTTCTTGCAAATCAGGGTCTTCTAAATAATGTGTCCAATTTCGTCAGTTTTGTTATTACAGCGGTAAGAAACCGCCAATTATCCTTCGAAGCACTTAGTGTTCAACCACGTCTATAGTATGACAGCGAGTACTTATATCTTGAAAGCTTAATCGAAGGATGTAAGGCCTTTTGTTCGGCTCATTAGCGGACTCGTAGGTGGTTTGCGGTGGTGATTTGGATCTTGAAGACTGGATACTAAGTTTTTACAAGAAACAAATTCAGCAGTGGCTGCTCAGTCACAGTGGTTCGATGGAGGGAGAACTGGTGCAAATTTTCATGATTATTAGGTAGGGGTAGAAGTGAAAGGAGGAAATGAGACGAGAGAGAGGGGAAAGCTAAACAAGAACATAGAGAAGACAATCAGACGATGAAACACTAAAATCAGGACGAAGAACAAAGGAGTGTGAATAAGGAAAGGATTGGAATGATTGAAGAAAGTGGAAGCTAAACAAGAACAGGAGGTGAGAGAGGGAACACTGGATTAGGGCAAACACACACAACAAGCTGGGTCAGATGAAAACAATAGGAGAAATGTGATGACACGAGGAATTCTTGAGATCCTGTGGGGCAATAGAGATAACTCTTTGATTATTCAAGAAGGTAGTACAAGAGAAAAAAACACCTGTGAAACCGGGGCTGCAGAAAGTGGCACTGGCAGGCAAGGATCAAGGGGTTTGGGCTTTTGCCGGAGCGGCTTTTCGTCCATAACTGGGCATTGGAAGCGGAAGGTTTTTATCGAGTTTGGCCAAAGGTTGTCTCGGGGTAGGTTTCTGTGGACGGAGAGTCGAGCGCTTATCGGACTCGTCATTCCACACTGCGATTTCAGCAGACATAGCCGGTTGGAGTTTGAACTCTGAGACATCCTTGGTCTCAGCGTGACAGCCTAGGTCCGAGGTGCTAGTTGATAAGACTCATTGTAACAACTGAGACGAGATGGGCTGGTTGGATGGGATGAGTCCTCGACGTTTGAGGCACCGATGGGAAGGCGATGCGCTCAACTTGACGGCACGAAGGGATAGATTGGGCGAGCTGGCCAGAGGGATTTTTCCCGAATTGATGGTTTTGGGCAACTCAGTTGACTCGGTCGAGTTGATCACTGGCAGACAGAATTCCGGCTCCGCAGTGTCCAAGTAGGCAGCCGAAAACTCCGGCGTCGTTTTCCCAACGTGATTGACGACTAGTTCTGGCGTGAATGGTCCAGCTGAGGACAGGCAGAGTAAGCTCGATAAGTAGACAGAATCTGAGGATGACCGCCGTCTGGTCGTCCTGGTAGTAGTAGTAGTGGTGGTGGTTGACAGAAGCGATTGGCACGATTCCGCCAATAAGGAAGTCAAGTGGATACTGATGGGTGAATCCAATAGGCCTTGCTGTATAAGCATCTGATCCAGAACTGGTAGTTTACTGTGATCGGTAGACAGTTTTTGGCGAGGAGTCGGCCTTTTTGATAGCTTCTTGTCAGACCGCTGAGATTAATACAAGCCAAACTGAATGAATACTTCTTGTTGCATCTCTATAGGCAAGAAGAAACAGTCAACTAACCTTGAGAAGGACGGGGGCAGTTGACTTCACGTCCCAAAAGTCATCGGAAACTTTGGCTTCAGGGAAATCCGAGGACAGCTCATTGGGAAGCTGCAATACGGGGAGTGGTACCGGCGGGACAGCCTATTAATGGAAGGAATTAGATGAGCCAACAAAGTAAAAAAACAAAAAAAAAGCATTTGCACGAATTAAAAGGATTTGCTCACGTCGGACTTGTTCATAGACGCCAGCCCCAAGGAAGACTTGCTGGGACGGAGACGACCAAAGGCCGAGCGAACACGGGTTCGGATATTAGTGGTTGAGTCGGCGTGAACCATAGTGACTGAGGAGATAAGCGAGTCTTGGAACAAGAAGGGGAGATGACAGGGAAATTTAGGTCTGGAAAGTATGAAAGAACCGGGCTTCAAGAAAACAAGGGCAGGGAGGTCAGATAGGGTATGATTGAGAGCTAATCCAATGATGATGAGTGGCTTTTTGGGGAAAGAAGAGATGGGTAGGAAAGGCTTTGGGAGTGATATCAGATGAATGTAAGGGAAATAGTAGTAGTAGTAGCTCCTAAAGATTGCTTTGGACGAGAAGACGAGGGAGCTGGATTGACATGCCAAAACTGGGAGGAATGGGGGCAGTATTTAAGGTGATCAGTCGAGCTGGCTAGAAAATTGAAAGAGCAGCTGAGTGACAGCTGAGGGTGACTTGTTAATGGGCCACCAGTTCGTATGGCAGGAGGACTGGAGAGACGAGAAGGCTGGCTGGCCTCACTTGGTCAGTCTAATGCATTTTGCCCTTGATCTCCATATCATTAGAAGGCTCGTGAGGGGCAGGACGGCTCGCCAGTCCAGGTTGAACTGGGAGGGACAGGACATGTTCCTGGTTGGTTTTCTAATCCCGGTTGAGGATGAGGAGGCCTTTGAGGGATTGGGTTGTAGACTGATAGAAATCCGCCCGTTTCACTCCACAGGCCGTCGATATACCAATATATCTTCTTTGGCCAGACGAGAGAAGAGGCAGATAGATGGCTAGTATTCTTCGGGTGCACCCAACTCGGCTACAGATTACTCCGGGTGCGCATGACTCTTAACAAACAGCCCACTTTCTTGGGGAATTGCAGCAGCATATGATTTTGGCTTAAAGAAATATTACTTTATTTTATTTTTTTTCATCATGCACCGACTCACCGAGGAAAGTGCCGGGGTTCGGATGCCTGCACATGTCAGCGACTCGGTTAGCCCCATCATTTTCCCAGCTTCCTCCAGCTTGCAATATTGACTCGGAAACATAAATTGCTAGATTACACTGATTTGTGTAACTGTTGAAAGTTTGATGGAAGCCATCCCCCAAGATCGAAGCAAGAGTCGATGATCCTGGGTGGCCATTGTTAAACAGCTTGGTCCTCGACGGAATTGCAGACTGCAAGCACCGGGATTGGCTGGCCTAAAAATACTGGCGTGTTCTAGCTTGTTTGCCGCGACCACAGAGCCCATCAAGTGGTGATATGGCTGAGAAGATTGCCGGATCTTCTCTTGAAGATTGCTCTGAAAAGTACAAACACTTTCTAGAACACTAATAACATCCAAGGCATGTGAGCCACGTGCTGAATGGGGTGCCGGGTGCTCCGGCCCGAGTCGTTAACTTGTTGCACCACTCAAATCAGGTTAACTCGTTGCACCACTTATGGTGTTCAAAATTGCCTAAGTGAGTTTTACTTATCTGCATAATGTAATATTTTGGCTGGGACCTGTCAGCATACTTAAAACTCAAATTGACAGGTCCCAGCCAAAATTGCAGATTATGCAGGATTATGCCAATAAGTAAAAAGATATTTAGGTAATTTTGAACACCATAACTAAAAACGAGATTATTTGTAATGACTAGGATACTACCGTAGACGCGCCAAGACAATATGTCTTTAAGAGAATGTCAAACAGACTAGCTAAGGACAACTAAACAGGCCGCGGTCTTGTCAAACTGACAATGTGATGTTTTAAAAGGTGATGATAATAGTTTCGCGAAATGCAATGATAATGAGGAAAACAAAAATATCGCGATAAGAGAAAAGGAGAAAAGGAAAAACAACTGATAAGAACTTCTGTTTAAATACTACAAGACTTCGATTTCCATCCGACTTTCGCTCTGCCTTATCGATTCTTGCCTATGTCAACAAAATTCTCTTTCTGGAAGAACGTGCGTCAATCTTTATTTCCGCGTATCTTATTCTTTCAGCTGTCATCTCGATTCTTTCTCTTCTTACCAACCTAATTGATTGTACGTAATCCCGATTCTTACAAATATAATTTACCTTATACCCGTTAAAAGAAGCGGAATGTTTGAGCGATTTTCAGTATGGAACGAAATAAGTTGGCGGTGAAGATGGCGGGGGATTGAAGAAAGAACAACCCAGCGATCCTGTGCCGGTGTAGAATGTTTCCATCTTAACAGATATTCTTCCGTACCCTTATACAGGGTGCGATGGTCCAAAACCTGATCAAATAATTCCCATCTGATCTGAGAAGTTGGGACCGTATGAATATCAGACTGAACTGAAGAAGAACGAAGAGGATGAGCAGACGGATCCTTATAAAGTGTAAGCAAGGTCACATTAAACACCGGGTGTAGCTTAGGATAATGAGCACTAATATCTAAGCGGACCGCATTCTCACCAACCATCTCAAGTACCTTAAAAGGACCCAGATGACGAAAATCCAATTTAGAATTCGGTCTCCTAGTGTGTATGTTGCGTCGAGAAAGTAGAACCTGGTCTCCGGGAGAGAAAATACTGGCTACCCGCCTGGACTGATTATAGTAATAAGCCTGCTTCTCCTTTGCCTTCTGAAGCGAGAGAGAAGCCTTATCCTGAATCTCTTGTAAATCCTTAATCAGATGGTTAGCACAAGTTCTGCTAGAAGCCGTAGTTAATGTGTTAAAGCAAGGATGATAACCGTGAACAAAAAAGAAAGGGGAGACCCCCGAAGAAGTTGAATGAAGATTATTAATAGAAAATTCCGCTACATCCAACTTACTAGACCAATCCTGCTGATTATAACCAACAAAATGACGGAGATAGTCCTCCAAAACTTGATTCATCCTTTCAGTTTGTCCATCCGTCTGGGGATGAAAAGCAGTAGATAACGCTGATTTTATATTAAGCTGCTTCATTAAAGTCTGCCAAAAGTCACTGGTCATAGTAGTTCCCCGATCCGAAATGATTCTGTCAGGTAAACCATGTAACCGAAAAACTTCCCTACGAAACAAAGTAGCTAGATCTTGCGCTGTAATCGTTTCCTTAGTGGGGATAAAATGAGCCATTTTGCTAAGCAAATCAATCACGACAAGGATTGAATCATAACCTTGGGAGATGGGAAGTTTGGTGATAAAGTCCATCCCAATTACACTCCAAGGTCGGGAAGGTACAGGTAAAGGTTGCAGAATCCCCGTAGGGAGCTGTCTTGAAAATCGAACTCGTTGGCAAGAATCACAAGAACCAACAAACGAAATAACATCCTTCCGAATAGAAGGCCAATCGAATGTGCGTAACAATAAAGAGAGAGTGCAAGCAATTCCCGGGTGCCCCACAAGAGTATTATCATGATAGGTATGAAGCACCTCCTCTCGTAAAGCAAGGGGAACAAAAACTCGATGCCGAAACCAATGCAATTCCTCCTGGAAATGATAATCGTCCTTTTCATCCGCTGACAGAGAGTCATAAGAAGCTATCAATTTTTCTTTAAAAGAGGAAGAAACAGGTTGAAAATATATATCATGAGTCGGACGCGTGTGCGCCTGAGATTCGATAGAACTCAGTTCAAAGCGAGGAACAAGTGAGTTAGGAAAAGTAATTTTCGCCGAATCATTGAAATCCGGCCGTCGACTGGGACCATCCGCTGGATTGGAGGGACCCGAAACATGGAACAATTTAAAATTAAATCCATCCAAAAACGACGCCCATCTGGCCTGCTTAGGAGACAAAACCTTTGAAGTCATAAAATGTTTCAAGTTTGCATGATACGAAAATACTAAAACTGGTTTTGCAGTGCCCGCTAACCAAGTGCGCCACTCATCGAATGCAGAGACAACCGCATACAACTCTAGATCAAAGATAGGCCAAGCCTTCTCCTGATCGGTGAGTTTTCGAGAGAAGAAGCTGACAGGATGTAAACGACCCGAAGTATCAGGTTGACTCAGAACTCCGGCTATAGCAAAACCAGAGCTATCAACATGAACCACTCTATCGGCGTCAAACGAAAAATGAGACAGAAGAGGAGCAGATTGGAAAGAGGATTTGAGAAGAGCAAAAGACTTAGTGACATTATCTTCTTTAAGCCGAGTTGGATGAAACTCCGATTCCTTGGTCAGTTCCGTGAGAGCACCAGCCACCGAAGAAAAATTAGGAATAAATCTACGATAGAAATTGCAAAACCCCAAAAATCGACGAAGCCCCTTCAAAGTTTCGGGAATTGGCCAATGAACAATTGTGTCCAACTTCTTTGGGTCCATGCGTAATCCCTGAGAAGAAATGATAAACCCAAGGAATTGGACCTCGGATTGAAAGAATTCACACTTTTTCAAAGAAGCTTTAAGCGAAAACTCTCGGAGCTTAGTCAGAATAGATGAGAGATGAGTTAAATGTTCTTCTTCGGTCTTGGAAAAAATCAGAATATCATCAATATAAACAAAACAACAAATGTCAATATATTCACGAAGTACGTATTGTATGAAACGTTGAAAAGTAGCGGGCGCATTTGCCAAACCAAAGGGCATGACCATGTACTCAAACAAACCCCAAGGTGTACGAAAAGCTGTAAGATACTCCTGACCCGGAGTAACCCGAAGCAAATTAAAAGCAGATTTCAAATCCACTTTAGAAAGATACTTACATCCCGCGAGGTTGTTGAGTAATAAGGAGAGAACCGGAATAGGATAACTATCCCGAACAGTTATTGCATTTAGCCCCCAATAATCAACACAAGGCCGATCGTCCTTTCCTTCGGTCTTAACAAAAAAAATAGGAGCAGCAGCTGGTGAAGATGAAAGTCGAATAAAACCCTTACTCAAATTATCATCAATGTAAGCGCGCAATTGACGTCGCTCTGATTCACTAAGATTGTACAGTCCACCAAACGGTGGGGTGCTACCCTCCTTAAGCTGAATTTTGAGGTCAAACTGTGGCCGAAAAGGTGGTAAAGATTGCAAACTAGCGACTGTAAAGACATCAGAAAAAGAACGAAGCTTGGGAGGTAAAGACAGAATCTCTTCGGTACTCAGATGAATGTTATTAGTGATAGAAGAGATATTAAGTGAATGAGAGGAGACCGGAAGAGAAGAATTACGAAGAGATTATGGTTCAAAATAAAGTTGTCCATTGGAACCTCCCACCCAAGCGCGGTTTGCTTTGAGCCAAGGAAGACCAAGTATCACATCAACAGAAGATAAAGAAACAACATTGAGGGCTACAGAAGATAAAGAGGAACGGTTAAGGCAGTCCGATAAAGCTATGGATCCGCGCCAACATTGTACGACATCGCCGGAGGAAGCTGGGGAGCCGTCAAAGCTTCTGCACGAGAAAGGAATATCCAAATCAGTTAAAACAAGGTTCTTTGATCTTACAAAATTGTGATTGATGAAGGAATCGCCAGCCCCAGAATCAATGAGTGCCAAAGCTGTGATAGAATGTGTGTTGGAAAGTAACAGTCGAATCGGAAGCACTAATCTAGAGGGGGAATGGGAAGAAGGAGGAGAGATAGGAGGTGAAACAGAAGAAATTGAAGAAATGAACTCGCCATCGTCAATTGGGTTCCCATTCTCATCGCTACCGTACATCAACATATCGGCGAAAGAACCAGGGCCAATGTGATCCCAAGAACCAGTAGGAATTGAAGGGAGGGCAGGTGCCAAATTGATTTGAGTGAGGTGAGTGGTTGCTGGATCGCTCCTCGAGAGTCGGGAAAAGAGGTCGAGCTTGTCTTTCATGGCGACCTCCGTATTAGGACAAGAACGGTTCTTGATGTGAGTCTCATCGTAAGGTTTCTGACAACGCTGACAAAGTTTATTCTTGACACAAAGAGCACGATAGGCGGAAAAAGAAAACCCGATACTTGCCGTGATGGCATCGATATCCATAGGGGTGGAGTTTGAAGGGTGTTGAGGAGGAGGAGGTGGTGGTGGAGGTCGGACAAGTTGAAAATCAGGGCGCTTCATTGACATGTTGCTGCGAAGAGTATTGAGTTCGTCCAGAATGTTGGAAGCGAGAATGGCGAGATCCATCTTGGCTTGAAGAGTGGTTGCCGCTTTCCAGGAGTCCTTCTGAATGGCGATTTCCAAAATCTTCGGGTTTAGAGATGCCTTATAAACGTCGATCCGACTTTCCTCCGTTAAATCAACAGCGAAAACAAGAGAACTAAACAAAGAATTAAAAACATCTAAAGGCTGATTGCCTTGTTTACAGTTATACAACACCCGTTTGGCATCCTCAGCACTACTTCTGTCTGCAAAAACTTCCTCTAACCTAGCTAAAAAACTTCTAATAGAGACTAGACAAGGTAAAATATAAGGATCTTCAGCCGAAACAGATTTAGTATCAAGCTCCTGGAGATGAGCATTCTCCTTCAAAATAGACATCCACCAATTATAAGAAGGAGGAATTCGAGAAGTAGAGTCATTATGATAACGAAAGTGACAAACAACCCAATTTATCTTACTCTTTTCATTAAGAAAACGAGATTCAGTTTCTATTAAATGGTCTTTAACAAAATAGATAAATTGGTTAATCTCCTTCGGATTACCGGAGAAAGAAGCATGAGACATAAGGGAGACATCGGAGAAAGCAGGATGAGGAGGGGGAGGAGGGGGAGGAGCCGGAACGGGGATTTGGAAAGTGGAAAGTTGATGGTGGAAAGACAGGAGGCGCTGGGTGACATCTTGAAGAGTGAGCTTGATAGAATTGAGGTCTATCTTGAGGGAGGCGATTTCATTGGTGAGGAACTCCGAACGTTGCTGTTCGGTCTGATGATTGAGTTGGAGGTTTGAAAGAGCGTTGGCGATTTCTTGAACACGGTCTTGTTGAGGATCCTCCATAGTAGAATTTGAAAAAAGGTTTTTAAAAGATCGCGATATTATTGTAATGACTAGGATACTACCGTAGACGCGCCAAGACAATATGTCTTTAAGAGAATGTCAAACAGACTAGCTAAGGACAACTAAACAGGCCGCGGTCTTGTCAAACTGACGATGTGATGTTTTAAAAGGTGATGATAATAGTTTCGCGAAATGCAATGATAATGAGGAAAACAAAAATATCGCGATAAGAGAAAAGGAGAAAAGGAAAAACAACTGATAAGAACTTCTGTTTAAATACTACAAGACTTCGATTTCCATCCGACTTTCGCTCTGCCTTATCGATTCTTGCCTATGTCAACAAAATTCTCTTTCTGGAAGAACATGTGTCAATCTTTATTTCCGCGTATCTTATTCTTTCAGCTGTCATCTCGATTCTTTCTCTTCTTACCAACCTAATTGATTGTACGTAATCCCGATTCTTACATTATTGGGATCTGTGCATACAAATCGATGTCATGCATATACTACACCTTTAATTGCCTTGTTGGAAAACCCTTCTTTGGGATCTATTTGTACCACTCAAGTTTGAGCATTAGAATTTTTGTCATTTTAAGAAAAGACTGGTGATCATACACCAATACCATTACCAGTCTTGACTTGTCAAGCTAAAATTTTGCCCAAGGAACATGTGAACACAAATTCAATGTATTATGCTTTTTTGGTTACCGTATGTGGAAGTTCAGCCTCAAGTAAGAGTTCTAAGTGTGCTCCATTTGACATGCACTTTGTTGGTTTGTTGCTTTGCTCTTGTCAATTTGACACCTTGGGTAAAAACCCACTCCCTATGGGTCCTAGAGTAATTGTGTGTTGCACAGTGCACACCATTCTTAGTCTTACTACAGTAGAGTGATATCTCTCATCATCTTGACCTCTTACACCTTCAGGCTTGACAATGTTGAGTTGGATCATCTTTGTGGCATTACAGGAGCATCAGTTAATGGTTGCTGAGCTACTGTTGATAATGCATTCAATACAACTCTTCAGCTACTACCTTGCACTCAAGTAAAAAAAAGTGTGATATCAAACTGATTGGGATGATGCCAATTGATGCATGATTCCTGTGAGGAGAGCTCTCCTCCAAATCTCCTCATGTCTGGAACTCTAAATACCCCAATACACTCTATCAAGTCTAGAGACAAATCAAAATGTCTGATCTACAAATTCTTTCAAATTTTCACAGTTTTTCAAACACTCCCAAGCAGGATGAGGTTGAAATATCAAGAACGAAAGTTTTATGAAAGTTTGGCAAAGAAAAAAAAACTGGAATAAGATTACCAGTGCACATTGACAGCTCCAAAATTGACATGTGTCTTCAGTGTATGGACAACACCTTAAAAAGCTTACAAGTGCTACCTTTTTTCATTCTGATCCTGAATGTCGTGTACTGATTATGATAGCTTCCATCATGGTCTATATATACACTTGATCAATTGAAAAACCATTGGGACACCAATCAATCAGTCCAGATTGGGAAGACATCCCTTAATCAAACCACCAAAAATTGACACACAGATAGAATTACACTTGTCAGCTTGTTTCAAACTCCAAACTATATCTTGGATCAATCTCCTTCAATTGAATAAAAATACCTCAGTTCTTCCCAGGACCATCTAATTTATTAATATGTTTTACTCAATCCCAACACATCTCACATTTCAACACCCTCTAATTATTAATTGATTTTACACAATACTAAGACATCTCAAATCTTACTGGGATCTGGTGCAAAGTTGATACTCACACCATTCATAAATCATTATAAGCCTATTTCAAATACCAATATTTTTTTTTGGAAGTTGTCATTTTTCTTTCTTTTCCTGTAGGTTGGTTTCTTTCTGTTTTGGATGAGTGAATAGTGGGTTCTTTTCAACACATGCTAAAATTAATATTTGATTCATAAACAGGATGGTTATTTCTTGAAGTGAATCACGACCTGGGTGGTAGAATGAACAATCAAATTAAATATGATGAATCAAAAGAGAAATGATCCATCAAATCAGGAAACATGATCCATTTTAAATTTCATTTGCTTATCTGTCTTGTAACCACATAAAATACCCAGGCTTGTCAATTTCATTTCTAGATCACATTTCCCACCTGTTTCCTCAAATATTCAAAAAAATATTATTAAACAGGCTCATCTCAGCTTTGACCAATTTCAAGCAACATACCTTCTGAATAAGTATTGTGAAACAAGTATCAAGAAGATTGTTAGTCCCATGGATTGGATCTTCCTATGTATGTAACCTTCACAAATTAATAGAGTTATCATATCAAACATGATGGTTTTTTTGTGAGTTTCAAAAATTTCAAGACATATGGCCTGAATTTGAATTTTTTTATTTTGTTTCTTGGTTTTCATTCTCCTTCAATTCACAAGCTGTCAATTTGTCTTCTAAAAATTAAGCACTTTTATTCAACTAAAAAAGTTTTATCTACCCAAATGCTGAAATTGGCTTACCATAGTCAAGCTAAGGACGCAATTTAAACCATCATAGAATATTTTCCATTCTACTGCCCCACTCTCTTACCTCCCACACACAACAAGCATTTCCCCCCTGGTGGGTTTTTCTTCCTACTACTCCTCTACAATCAGTGCTCATCCATGTTCATTTAAATCTGAATGAAACCAAAATAGAACTCAAAATAAGAAAACTAGCAGCCAATGGCACAAGAAACCAGCCCTTTGTGTCAAAAAAAAACATCCTTACGTGGATCTTTGTAGCTATAAAGCTATCTGGGTTAAGCTACTGACTAGAAAATCAAGCCCCAAAAATCCTATAGCTACATTTCAGAATCTGGTGTTCTATACACCTGGTTACCCGAGTGCAATCCAGAGCAGACCTTCCAGCCAGGTTGACTGTTGTAAATACCTCAGTCGAGCCAGTCATTATGATTGATATATTCTCGACTGAGCTTATAACCAAGTTTGTCTGAGCTGATACTGGTGATTATTTCTCGATCATGAAGTCGAAGAAGCTAGTGTCCGGTCTCCGGAGGAGATGGCAGATTTTCAGCGGAGGGCAGACGGGGCAACTGGTGCTTTACTTTTCACTGGTTGACCGGGTCAAGGCCTGTCTTCCCCTTGGCCGAGTTGAGAGACTCCGAGGACAGTGTGTCAGACTGGGGCGGCAAAACGTGCGGATAGATTATGGCGACCCGTCGAGTGGAGGCATGATCGAAATCTTAGGTGCTCGAGTCGTCGTCTGACTCATCCGGTCGTGAAGTGGGCATGACCCTGGGCCGGCGTCAATGCGGTCCAAGTCACCGATGCTCTTCATGTGATGTGTTTTGTGTGTATGTAGTATGGGTTTATCAGATAGAGCTGATTAAGGCTGATTGCCATTTCCAAAACAGAACAAAACGATGTCCAGCATGGGATAAAACCGGTGATTATGGATTTAGGAAGCCATTTATATCATACTTGGACCCCTCCAAACCCATCCTGCTTTTCAGACCCTCATCGTCTTGCCTTCCTCCAACCAGAGACTTGTGAAGTGCCCAAGAAAACCAACCAGTCACCCTCTCCCCCCCTCACCCACCCCCTTCTCATCCCCATCCTCATCCTTCCACACCCGAGAAAGCCGAAAGCGAGTGCATAGAAGATGTCGAATAACAACGCCCCCAGCTTGCCGACATTCATTGGCAACCTCCATGTCGGCCCAGGAAGTAAAATCGATCGACTGTCGAATAATCCAGTCTTACCTGTTTTCTCTTATTGTGCTGCAAGTATCCTGATGACCGTGATCAACAAGGTGCGTCTCTGATCCCTCCTTTTCCTTTCGTGTCTTCCAACATCCTGTCTCTTCTAATTTAGGCTGATTGCATATCTCTCACTGTATTTATCTAGTTTGTGGTCTCTGGGCGCCATTTCTCGATGAACTTTCTCCTTCTGACCATTCAGTCTGTGGTCTGTGTGGGCTGCGTGGCCACGTCCAAATCGTTGAGGGTCAGTCAAAATTACTATCAATACACACTTATACTCAGTAACCACCAACTTCACTTGTAACACCACAACAGTGCAATTTCACTGACTTTTGAATTCCAATTAAATTATCAGTTGATTAAATATCGTGACCTCGATAAGAATGATGCCAAGAGATGGTTCCCGATCTCGTTTTTGTTGGTTGTGGTCATTTACACAGGTTCGAAAGCATTACAATTCCTGACCATCCCAGTTTATACGATATTCAAAAACCTTACCATCATTTTGATCGTGAGCCAATGTTGTTTGATTTTTATTTTTGTCTCAAAATTTTACCCAACTTCTGTCTGGCTGATAATGTTATCCACAGGCATACGGCGAAGTGATTTGGTTCAATGGATCGGTGTCGAGCTTGACCTTGGTGTCATTTGGCCTCATGGTCCTCTCCTCTCTCATTGCCGCCTGGTCCGACATCTCTCCCTTTCTCTCAATCAATTCAGCAAAGGAAGAAGCATTCCAAGAGCCTCTTATCTACGGAGAAATTGTCAAGAAGAACATGGGCTACTTCTGGATGTTGATCAATTGTTTTGCCAGTGCAGCTTATGTGAGTGATCGATCCCCCCACAATCCTCATTGGAGAGCAACCCTTCCAAACACATTCACTCATTGCCACTGTGAAACTAAATCGTCAATTTTTTTTGTAGGTATTGGCGATGAGGAAAAAGATCAAACTCACCAACTTTAAAGATTGGGATACGATGTTTTACAACAATTTACTCTCTATCCCAATCTTGATTGTGTTTTCTCTAGCATTTGAAGATTGGTCCCAAAGCTCATTGAGTCTTAACTTGTGGGTGACATTCTAGGCACTTTCCGCTTTTGCTCTTTTGGCGCTAATATGATTTTAATTCCCCTCTAATTCACATACAGTCCATCAGAGGGGCGCAACTTTCTCCTGGCAGCGATGTCGTTCTCTGGCGCAGCGGCAGTCTTCATTTCGTACACCACAGCCTGGTGTGTGAGAACGACCTCTTCAACGACCTACTCGATGGTGGGCGCTCTCAACAAGTTACCAGTGGCAGCCAGCGGGATGATTTTCTTTGGGGATCCAGTGACCTTTGGAAATGTGACGGCTGTCTCGACCGGCTTCGTCGCCGGTCTTGTTTATGCCATAGCTAAAACAAATCAACAAAAGAATAATAATAGCAACGGGGCGGGTAACGGATCCGGTACTCCCGGTAGTGCTACTCAACCCCTCTTATTTCAAAAGGACATCAAGGCTTGATCCAAATTCGTTTTTTCTGACCTTTTCAATCAATCTTTCATCGTCTCCTTCATATGGACCAAAATCTTTTCGAGTTTCTCGTTATAACTCCCTCGTTTTTTTTTTTCAGATATAAAAATCTTTCCCTAGTTTATTTTTATAAGACGATCGCAGCCCCTAGACTTTTGTTATCATTATCATTTGCCGCTTCAATAGCATTTTTTTCTCCATTCACTTTCTGATGTTTAGTCCTTTCAGTTTTTTTTCTTCTATAGTTTTTTTGTCTCTTCTTTTTTTGACTGATTTTTTTGCATAGATTATGTTCATTTGTCTTTTCTCGCATGTTGTTGCAGAGCCTACTGGTTTGTCATTTGTAATCCCGAATCGAAACCGAATTGTTTTGGTCAGTAGTCGCATTTTCAAGTAGAAGATCACAAAAAAACTGGCTACACATAAGTTGAATGTTGCACATTTGACAGTTGACTGCACCATACCAATCTACCTTACCACATCAACTCCATCTTTTCCCTCGATTCATCGCACCATCAAGCCAACAAAAACAGAAACTGTTGTGATTTTTCAAAATGTTAGTTTCCTTGCCTTCTCCATCCTTCTGTTTTTATTTCCTGTCATGTTTCATTTTGAATTTTGTGGCTTATCAAAAATCATCAGTTGTCAAGAAGATGCTCCTCAATCTGTCTACGCAACATTCTGCCTTTTTCCCAAAATGTCTTTTCCTTTCTCTGTACCTACCGGTACATAAATGTTTGATTTAAATTCTCACAGTTTCTTTATTAGGCCATGTTGTATTTACGCGCATCGGGTTCAGACAATTATCATAATAATCTGACTTATGTATTGAAGTAGCTTTTTTTATTTTATGCTTGGGCTATGAATCTTCTCTGATTTGCAATTTAAACCAGTTCATAAACTAAGCGCACAAGAACAAAGACGGGTACTTTTTGTTGGTTTGAAATTGGAGGCATTTCGACATGTATAAGATAGATGGTTTATCGATCCACAAAGCTATTCTAATATTTAATAGTAAGGATGATTGATGAGATAAAATTGGACATGAGTTGTTGCAAAGATGTGGACATCATCCGGGGCGATGGTCTCTTCCCAGATCCAACGCTTGGTAAGCATGTCTTGCACCGCGTATTGGAAGGATGTGTCGCCCTTATTGACCAGTTTGATCTTGCTTCCGGCGACTCTGGAAAGTGAGAGGTGCAAACAGCCGACATGACAGACGTAGTGATCTTCAATATCATGGCTTGGCTGAAAATCTCTTAGAAACTTCATCGTAGACCAGTCGATGGCGTTGTTTTCTTTGGAAACCCAACTGGTGATCTCGTGGACCTCACCAGCCGCAGAAGTTTTGCAGATTGCCTCGAGCATCAGGAGCAGTGCCAGAATCCAAATTGGTGATCTTTTCATCTTTTCGTGATGCTTTAATGCCAGAGAAACTGCATCAAATGATATTTATTGGTGAACCAATTGAATAAAAGAAATCAATTTGGGCTGATCGAAAAGCCGGCCAGTCTTCTACTTCATGGATTCTAAATATAAGAGTAGCCAGGGGAAATGACTGACCAATGTGATCAATTTTTCTCTTGAGCTAATTGGCCGGAGTAGAGCTGGTGCGAAAGATACCCCAAAACAAACAACCAGCTCGGGTAAGCATCGCAAGCAATCAACCCAGTCTCACAATAATCGTGGACTGCGGGCACCCTCACTAACGTTACGAAAGTTCCCGATTCCAGGCACCAGGGCACCGGAAACCTCCAGTCCTGTACCATGTACACCTGGAAAAACCCTAAGTCAATATGCATGGTTGCGTTCGGCCTTTCAGCCGCCTCATTCATGGGCGATGCCGCGATACACCTGCCCCACAAGCCACATACGGCAATTCACAATTTCCGGTGAGGGAGACCGGCCGGACAAGACTACTAGAAGGCATTGCCTCCTTTGTGGACATTGAATATATAATGGCAAGAATGGTTTTGATGACCACAGGCAAACATCCCACTGCATCCTCCTTCGCTTCAACATACTTGTCAACCCTTTTCTTGTGATATCGCAAGTCCGGACCAATTATAACGACACTAGGCTTAACCCAGAGTTCTCGGTTAAATTATATTTTCCAACAATCATCACGAGTTGTTCTTGCACCCGATCGGTACTCGCGCTACAAGAATTTTACAATGTCGTCGTTTCTGATCAAGTCCACCATGCTCATCCTTCTCACCACCCTCGTCGGACCGATTCAAGTTTCCGCCCAGTGTAATCAACAATATCCCCAGGCGTGGTGGTTCTGTAGTGAATCTGCCGCTTTCGAAAATGGTTTACCGACGGCGATCACGGATTGTAGTAGTAGGTGTATTTGACTTCAGTAAACTCTTCGTCTCTGAATTTTTGCTGACTATTCCGGTTACATACCTATAATTTGATTCCAAAAGTCCACAGAACTAGAGGATGCAGCTCCAAACAGCAGGATGTGGGACCATATAAGACGTGTTGCAAAGAAAGTGTTCAGCCAAATGCTGTGAGTCAGTTTACATGTTCCTACAGCCTCAGGCTACATACTCAATTGAACCCATTGATTGATTGTTTTGTTTTGGGTTTTTTGTATCTTGACTTTGTTACATTTGTATATATCCAGGATGGAAGTGTTGATTGCAAACTCATGCCTGCAAATTGCAAATGATCTCATGGAATCACAGTGCATGTTTAGTTTGAGCAAGCCCAGCAGTTATGTCCAAGATTTTGTTGGGCAGTGATCTTACTATTAGTATTATGAGGGATAGATCCAAAACAAAATGTTCTTTTGACTATCTAAAAAATCCTCAACAACAAACAAGATAAAGAGATAACAAGGGATATGGATACTTGTAATATATTTTTGTGAATTGCCAGATATTCACACAAGCTTGTAGGCTCCATAGTATAGCTCTGGTGCATCCTTTGGGCCTTGACTGTCTTGTTATAAATTACAATCACCCCTCAGAGCATTCACATTGGTCTGGTTAAGTTTTAGGTTAGCAAACCTGGGTTGGAGGTCTGGGTTAGCTAGCCTACTGGTGTCAAACACATTGGTCTGGTTTAGAAAACCCCTGAAAGAATCCTGCAAAATTGCCAAATTTCTGGTTAGCAATCACTAAATTTAGCTGCTGAAAACCTGAAATCAAACTTTTGGTTAACTAACCCATTGCTAACCTTGCATTGATGTAAGTGTGCAAACAGGCTTGGTTGGGTTAACTGGTTAACTTGCCTTAACCCAGCAATTTAACCCAACCAATGTGAATGCTCTCACTCAACTATGTTTGTTCCTCTGCTTGTGAGAGGGGAATGTTGTACTACAGGGGAAAGCCATTGGATCCAATGCGCAAGCTGGGTCCCTGGGGACACCCTGGGGACTGTCTCAGGACATCCCTTCCCCCAAAGTTTTGATAGTTGATCCTACAAAACATACAGTGGGTTTGGGAGTCAACAACCCAAAAGATTTATTTAAAAAAACGCAAACCCCTGATCAGTTTAGGAGTTGATTGTCCAAAAACAACCATGGTTTTGGGAGTTGGCACTGAAGTTCTACCCGGAGAGGAAACAAAACACTCAAGTCCAAGACTGTGAACTCTCAGACATCAAGAGGAATCCCTCTCAATGGCTGAGAGCTCAGTGTTTTTTTCTTTTTTCTTTGTCAGGTAAACCTTTGGTAGAGATGGGCGCTCCGCATCCGGATATCCGTTCGGATGCGGATATCCGCTCACATTTTCAGCGGAATTGCGCATCCGCATCCGCATCCGCATCCGCTGGCGGATACCCGCTGGCGCTGGCGGGTATCCGCGCGGATATCCGCCCCCTTTTAAGGGTGGATAGTGTTTTTTTTTTTTTTTTCAAAAAAAAAAGAAAGAAAAAAAACTGGTTTTTGAACCAGCTTGTCGGGAGGAATCCCTCCCGGCAAGCTGGATTGTGTACCCTCTCGTCGGGAGGGATTCCTCCCGGCGGTATGGCCTCTCTTGGCACCGGGTATCCCTTGGGATACCCGGATATCCGCCAGGTCTGGGCGGAAAAACGGCCATCCGCAGCCGAATCCGCACCCGCTGGCGGGCATCCGCTGGCCCTAGCGGGTATCCGCCAGGGGATAGCGGATATCCGCAGCGGATTATCCCCGCCCATCTCTAACCTTTGGTGTTGACTTGCGAAACCTGGTTGTTTTTGGAGGATCAACTCCTAAACTGATTGGTTTTTTTTTCAGGGGGTATCAAATATAACCAAATCCACCATTATTTAACTGACTGGTTTGAAAAAAACCACTCTTTTTGAAACATGTTGATTATTCATTTAACACGTTTTGGGGCCATAATGGTGGATTTCCTATATTTGATACCCCTTATTATTCAATCTTTTGGGTTGCCAACTACCAAACCCACTTTAGCTTCTGGAGTATTGACTCTTCAAACTTTTTGGGACCAAAAGATTAACCAAGCTCCTCTATGAAAATACCAGTACAAAAGCTCTGAAATATGGTGGAATGTATCTCAGTAATAATGCCTCAATTTATAACCCAAAATAACCATCACCTATGTAAAATGATACCCTCTTATGGAAAACCGACTCCAACACCTTGCCATCTGGTGCAGGAACAAGGAATAAGACTGAACTGGACTCACAGCCAAGAAGGCTGGATTTTAGTGGCTAGATCATGATTCAAACTTCAAAGTGACTTGGCAGTTATGAAAAGATGATCAAACACAAGCCATGTCATTTCTTGATATTTAAATGGCACATTGGACAGACCTAAATTGAATATTGGACAAACAACAAACTTAGTTAGACCAAGTATCCCTGCACAAATGCATCCCACTCATTTTTGTGGAACATGTAGGTCTTTGACTCTACCACCTGATTCATGAGGCCACCTATGCAATGATTTCATATGTAATCAAATAAAGATGTCACTTGGCACCCGCCGACAGGTACCTGCCACACTTTCAGAAGGTGCCCTGGGCACTTCTATCCACCAGCTTTGTGAAAGAATTGGAACTGAAGGTATTATAGTTCTTTATAAAGGTTTGTTCTTATAACAATTTACAAACAACATGATTTAAATAAAAGAAGAAAGAATAGTAGAAATACCTGAAGGCAGAATTATATATGCTATTTCTACTAATGAAGCTTAAATAGAAATAAAAGATAAATCGGCTAAGTTATTCTTTAACAAAGAGAATAAAGATAACTAAGTCCGTTTATGAAATTGTTAGTTATCTTGTGCTATTCTTATAGCAAAATTAATAAAAGGTACTTTACTTTTCTGGATAGAATGTTATAATTCTTGTAGCGCTTAAGGCTTGAGTTAGTGATGATCGTTCAAAGAATCTAACACATGATCATTGAAGAAGTATTGACTTCTTACTTACCACTTGAAGGCGGAAAGATACGGTCAATGAGTTTGGTAGTCGATGTGTTTGAAGAGAATAAGCTGCACAAGATGAAGATGAAGTATTTTGCAAGGAGAAATAGAAATTAGGATTCTCTCTATCTTTCCTAATTCTCTCGCTCTTGTGATCAAATCATTGAGACTCACCTAGAGCTCAATGATTGATCACAGTCATCATTCGTATTTGAGCTTATGACGTCAGTGACGTAATCTCTTGAATCACAAGCTAAGTGCTTGGCTCGATCTTGTTCTCTTATAGAACAGCTAATCTCTACACATGATCAAGAAACTCAATGATCAGCGCGATAATATTTTAGCTTTCAGGAAGTTTATCAATAAAGATAAACTAACCTGACAATATCCTCTTTTGAGGGCTAAGACAAGGAATACTATTCCAACACTTTGAAGGTGGAGCATTCAGAACTGTTTCTTGGACAGTAATATATCCTTCAAATGGACAGCTGGTGGCTGGAGGTGTCCAGGCAATTGTTTGAAGTTGTGGCGAGTACCTGCTGGCAGGTGCCAAGTGAAATCTCTATAATCAAAAGTGTCAAAGATTATTCCACCAAAAAATGCCTGGAGCTTTTTTAGAATGTGGCCCTGAGCCTGGAAACAATTAGGTATGTTGCTTGAGATCAAGGCCCCCTGTTGCAATTATGTTATTTTTGTGTATCTCTATTTTGATTCTATTTCCATTCAAATGTCACTCCTTCACTTTTTTCATCTTTTCTACCTCCAGATTGCCTATCCAGTTGACCTTCTGTACCCCAACCTAGCCCCAATGTTGTAATAGCTTAAAAATAACTTTTTGAATAAAGAAATTAACATGTCTGTTCTTCTGCGCCTGATCCCTGGGGCCTCTACCAGATAGAACCTTTTGCAGTGTGTGTGCTTTTTCACCACTCAAGCTAGCAGTAGCAGACTCTTTGACACTTTTTTTCTCTCAGATTTTTTTTTTTAGTTTTTTCCTCTCCTGGTCTTCCTCTTTTTCTTGCTTCAAATCCTAGTTTCATCACCCCCCTTGATTATAGCTTATACAAGTTTAATTATCTCCTTTTCATCAGTTGGTGGGATGAAATAAATGTGTGTTTTGAATCACAAAAATTTATTCCAGATCTCATCTGGATGATGGATTCTCACTAGAGGAGATACATACGTATCACAAGAGCTAAGCCTCTCTTGTCTTGGAGCAGTTGTTCTTTTGGCTTGGTTTGGATTGTATTTTTTTTGATGCAAGTGAGTTACTTGCAGCTATTAGTTACTTACAGCTATTCCAAAAATGCTTGTCCAACTTGCCTTTGAAATTTTTGATTTTTTGAATTTTCATTTTCTTACTGAACTGGGCCTGTCACAACTGAACTACTGAAGACAGTTGTACATCCTTGGCCAGTAGTTAAGTTGTGACAGGCCCAATTCAGTAAAACTAAAAATAAAAATCTGAGGCAAGTTGGACAAGCATTTTTGGAATAGCTGTACAATTGTTATGTAATCACACCAGCAAGTTATTGTTTTAGAGTTATTTTAATCATCCCAGTGTAGGAAGCACCGGCAGGTTGTGATTTCTTGCCCTACATGGTTTTAGAGCATCTCCACCGCGGTCCCTAAATTGGGTCCCTATCCCGCATTTAGGGACCATGGCCTCAAAAACGCCACCCACCACGGTCCCCATTGGCGTCCGTATTTTACGGATTTCATCCTCGGTCCCTCTCCAGACCCTGGATCCAGGGATTGGATAGGGACCAAGGACTGTACACATCAATGTGAATGTCACACGACATCACACCTCAACGTAGTGTGACAGCCTGTCAACACTAAACAGATACCAGTGATTTAAGGACTGCCCGGTGTGGTGAGACCAATCAAGGTCATATATAGTACAAAATAGTTATTTACAGTAGTTTTCATGTTATTACAACCAGATATACATATGCTACATAACCCTTTATCTTGTATCCAGTTCAGAAGGTTACAAAATAGTATTTTTTACACATAGTTTGGTTACATAATATATAGTACTACATAGCTACAACATACTACATATCACACACCTCAAGATACAAATTAGTGTTCCCTTAGTACCTTCTTTCTATGATATTAATCTTTCAGTAAATGTTATTTATTTCATCTCAGATATCACTTATTCAGACTACATATACTGTTTCATCCCATACATCTGCTTTCTCATCCAGATATTGTCATCACATCTCACTCATCATCCACTTCTTTTCATACATCAATTACTTCATTCTACATTTATTTTATTCTACATTTATTTCATACTACAAGTATTTCATTCTTACATTCCATTTCAAACTCAATACACATGGCTTATATCACCTACATTCTCATCATACATCTCATTTCAACTCATTACTCATTGCTTATATCACCTACATATATATTTGACCACACAGATTTCTCATCTCACCCCAGAATATTTATTTCAGTCTTTTATTATCTCATTCCTTTTTGCACTACATATTATTTTTATCACAAACAAAGTTACTTCATATTTTCTCCTTTTTAACATGTTTATTTCACACTACACATTTTTAAGCCACATTTATTTCATAACCAATTGTCTTTCAGATACAACTTATTTCATACCATCTTCTTACATCAGCTGATATCTTACCACTAGTATCTGATCAGAACCACCCACATGTATATAGAGAATACCCTTTCCCACTTACTTTGTTCCCCATGCTTGCATTAGAGAAGTAAACAGATAATTACTTAGCAGACATCACTTACTAGTAGTTACCAGACGTTATTATTATTGATTTTCCCCCAGAAGATAAGAAATTGAACCAGAAACCATTATCCCCAGAGCCTCATCCTTATCAGAATCCCCCACATCCTCTATCTCTCAGCAGGTGACTTGTACAAGACATCAGTAATAAATCTCATACTAAGATTACCCACAGAAATAGCCGCACCTTTTCTTTAATTCTTAGTGTAACTCTCTCCCAAGCCTTGATAAGAGGGCAGCTTCATCAGCATCAAAGTCTTCAACTCACATTTTCCCCTGTGTAGTTGTTCTTTTCCGCTCTAAGCTCTTTTCTTTAGCTTGAAAAGTTCCACACCGGTGTGGTATACCTTAAGGGTAGCCATCTGGCCCATTTAAAAATTTTACAGTTTTTTCTTTTATTACAAATTACATACTTTTTACACCTTTTTTCTCATATATACACTCACAAATCACCCAATATGGCTCAAGAACTGGATTCTACGGTCAATTTCACCCTTGGTCACCACTGGAGGCGTCACTGGAACTCAACTGGATTGGAAGATACACTCTCTGGACCATCACCACACTCAATTACACAACTCACCACCATGGCAACACTCAA